GGGCCAAGTAGCCGTGGGGTGTAAAGGTTTATGTAGAGGACGAGTGTAAGGAAATTGTTCCGACGTGTCCACTTCCTCTGGGCTTGATGAGTTCCGTTTTACTCTCCACTCAGAGACCTTGTCAATCAACGAAACCCCTTTCACTCAAAGCCCTGAATTTCCCGATTAAGTGTAAGACTTTTTTTTCTCCACTTCATTCTTCAACACATGATCAACAGCTTGCTAGCTAATAACTGTTTGCTTCATCTGAGATTGCTCTGAAAAAATCTAATAAATACTGTTACCCCAGTCTTCAGCATTTTCTAAATCTACTAACAAATAAATATCAATCATATTTAACAAAGGTTGAGAAATTATTTTCAGAACTAATAAAATAATAATAGAGTAGGCAAAAAATTATGGTTCACTGAGTAAAATAAATTACAAGTTCGATAAATGAATCCTTATTAAGTGGCCAGTTATAATTATAAATCTGCACCAATATAATAAAAGAAGATTCCCAAAGCCAAAAATTGGCCTTCTTGAAGAGAGTCCGAACTTTCCTTTTGGTAGATCGTAGTAATAAAAAGGATATCTAATCGTAAACGTTTGCTTTTCCTTTGCCATGCAATGACCACAGCTCTTACCTCAAGCTGAAGTCTTTCTATTCTAAATTATATAGTCTTGAAGTAAAAGAAAATTTCCGAAGGGGTCTGCATCCTACGACCTTTTCCTCTTTATAATATCTTCTCTCCTTATCTTACGCTCTTTACATACTTTCCAAGGAGCGAGAGACCAACAAACGAAACCCCTATCGTAAAATCAAGTCGTTTTTGAAAGAAATCAAATTGACGCCATAAAATTTGGGTGTTCACTTTGCAGTGGACATTGGAAGTACCATTACTGTTGGAATCTGTTTGAAACATTGCTTGAAGTAAGTTTCGAAGTGAATGGGCACAGAGTCTGCAATGTGGTTTTATTAACGTGTTCACAGAATTTTTGTGGTTTATGATCCTATATTGACCTCAAACCCAAGTGGGATTAGCTTATGGGGGTGGTCAATATAACGATTAAAAGCAAACGAGCCTCATGTTCTTAATACTGTTCAGAATTTGTATACCACAATATATTGTTAAAATTTATTTTATCATTATAAGACCTACTCTAGCTAATTCTCTAATCTCAAGTCTTTTATTTTTCTCGTCATAAAACTGGCCTTGTGATTATCTAGTTCTTTCAATTAAAGTAAAATAAATTGTTGGAATTTCTCTCACATTAGAAAATAAATTAACCGGTAAAATTATGAGCTAATAAACTTACAGGACATTATATAATAGAAAAATCGGTAGTTGAATATACTTGAGCGAAAAAATGTAGTTTTTTCGCTGAAACCTCGTTACCAGTAAAGTGAAAAAGCTGATGGAGATGGGGGTTGGACAGGGGAATTATTGGAAAAAGGTAAAATCAGCGGTTTCTACGAAATGACTGCTCCAAACCGCGCCCATGCGAAACTACACACTCTCATCTCTCTTGTTGCCTTATCGACCAGTTTTATATCTCTCCCTTTTCCGCTCAGTGTTCTCTCTTGTTTGAACGTACGCACGCACGCATCCAGTGCTTGCCGGGTGTACTCTTTAATGTTCGGGGGAGCTTAACCGTCGGATCGATAAGCGATAACGAGGTCGAAGTCGTTCGACTTTGCATTCGAATGCAAAGCAGCTTGTTAAGTCCACGAGGTCGCGTGCTAGACATCTACTACCTCATTCCCCGTAGTCATCTTGTTCCTACTCCTCTTTCCTTAAGTTCTCCCTCAGTATTCTTTGCTGTGGATTTCTTTCAGCTTTTCCTCCTGCGTAGAAAGAAGTTATTTACATCCCCCAATGGTGGTTTAAAGACAGGGGAAAGCTCTCCGGAAGCAGCTTATTATTTCCAAGGTTTTCCTTCTCAAGAACATCAGCTTCTCCCTTGTCTTCGGTGCTTATACTCTTTTGACCTTGCTTCTTTTTTTTCCTTTCTTTATTATTCCCTCCTTCTCACTCATCTGTTTCAGTATCTTGATAGAAACAAGAGCTTATCGACTGTTGAGTTTACATAATTCCTCAAGCGCACTCTTTCAACCCTCTTTCTTGACTACTCAATGGCTTCATGTTCCTTTGAGCCACATTCAAAGTAAAAATTGCCCTGATGACTTTTATCGCTTCCAATAAGGGAATTAATCAACCGCTTTCAATCTTGTATATATCAGTTTTACTTCTAAAACCTAAAATTTTTAGTTATTTTTTTTTGAATGTTAAGAAACGTTTTCTTTTATCTTTTAGTTCTTTAATTAAACCTGAAATTCTGACAATTAATTTTAAAAACAAATTGAAATTTTTATTATTATTAGTTTGTACATTGATAGAAAAAAAATATATTTTTTAAAAGTTATGAGAGAAAAAATTTTTTTTAAAGCTAAAAAAAAGTTAACCAATAATACGTGAAAAAATACGTTAATTTAATTTTTTTATCAATACTTGATCGATTCTTCTCCAATTTAAATCCACAAACACGCAGAATAAAGGCTCTCACCATTATTCTAACAGTTATATTCATGCGAAACATGTGAATCAAAAAAAAAATTCTCTCTCAAATTTATATACGTACCTGACAAAAAAAACCTCTTTTTTTTGGCAGATGCCCAACCGACGGGACAACACGGTGTTCCGGCCTATCGATAGGCTTTCACGCACTCGTAATCCGCATACGCAGTCTCTCGCATGCGTAACTGTGGTCATCGTATGTTGCGCGAGAGGATGGTGACATATATACGTATATATATATATATATATATATATACATATGGAGGTGAACAGGAGAACGAGGATTGTAGAGCAGCAGAGTGCGAGTACAGTGATGAGGGACAAGGGAGGATGGTTACTAATTGTTCAAGCCCTCCACCCGTTTGGCCACCCTTCATCAACGCTGATTGCCTAACTCTAGAACCCTCAAACTCCACGGCTAACGTTCCTCCTCTCTCCTCCTCACGTTGATCCTGGACAAGAGCAGAGGATCCAGTTTGTTGGTCCGCCAATACCAATTTGTCGGTTGCGATTGTCTGTACTTCGACTAACTTGTCTCATTGTCAATTGTCCTCACACCAGCATTTCACTTGTTTTTCGACACTTGCCATGTCATCAATGAAATCAGCCCAATACCTACGAAAATCGTCTAATTTACAATAGGAATAAAAATACCACTTTTTAAGCTAAAAAAAATGACAGATCGTTCAATTCTGAAACCTTTTTAATGTTTTTTTCAATCCATGGATTTTTATTTTAATAATTCAAACATTGAAAATTATCAATAGAAATTATAAGGCAATTATATGAGTTGATGCTTTTCATTCAAGTTAAAATAGATTTTTTAAAAACATCATGCATTTCTAAAAATTCTCATTTAATGTAATCATATCAAATATAGTAGTGCATTTGTTAATATATTTAGTTCATACAGGAATGTAAATATAAAATAATTTCTATTTCATGCAAAATAATTCCTAGATTAGGGAATTTCATGATTCGAATTTTTGTTGGTAAAAATTTAAATTTTTTGTAAACATTCATAGAGTTTTTATAAATAAAATATTCTTGAACCACAGAATTGATGTAAAATCATCAACGAAATATTTAAATTCCTTGTTGATTATAGAGATTAAGATTGAAGTGTAAAACTCGAATAAAAATGAATTCAAAAAAATAGATATCTATTTTCAGCATAAAATTACAAATAAAACTACAGGTGAGTAAACATTTTGTTCACATCTGATGTGATTAATTGTAATAAATCTAGAATAAAAAAACCAGTCCAACTGTAACTGTATCCATGAAACTAGTTTTACTAGAGCGATTACTAGACTTTTCGTTTAGCTAATTTTTTGTGCTCGCATTTACTTAACTAAATTATACATCAGATTCTTTGAGCAAACATTAGTTAGTGTCGGGATGATAGTGGTGAGAGCAGTATGGAATCAGGACACAACTAAACGCAGCGCGGAATCGGTTTGGTAGATTCGTGTGGCGCGACCCTTTACGGTTGCTCGGTTCCGTTGTCTACTCGTCAACGCGTCGACCCCACGAGTTATACGGGGTGTCAATGAGGTTCTCATCTCTATGACTCTAACTTTATAACCAATCCAAATAAAAAAAAATTATGCCATCATTAGAATCAATTGAAAAATATTTTCAAACGTCTAACAAAAGCTTGTTGGAATAACTGAATATTTCTTCCATATTGATCACAATGATGACAAGTGGAAAATAATGGTAATTCAATGTAAATGATAATGGAATGAGCATCCCTGAATGTTGAACTATAGGTACTAATACAGATCTCACGCACTACTCCCTTCTATAAAGCACATATATATTCCCTTTGCAATCCCTTGGCTCAGTTATTCTCTCTTTCTCCACATCTCTTGTTTCCCCTCCCTCGCCCTCTATGGGAACCCATACGGTCGTGTCGTGGCTTGAAACGACCGTGTGGCCTGCTACCATTCAGATTTAAATCGCAGCTCGAGAGAAAAAAATTTATATGTACGTATACATATATAACGTGTGCGCGATGAGAGCTCTCTCCCTTATTGCAGAAGCACGAACGGCTATTGAGTCTCTTTCATAGTGGCACGAGCTTCGATTTATATCAAAGATACCTCGGGATTCAACAAAGCAAAGATTCAACATAAATTTTTTTAATGTCAAGGTGCTTCGTATATGTCTCAATTAAGATTATTCTCAAAATATTTAAATATCAAATTTTCATTTCAAGTCTCTTGAGAATTGTTCAGTTAGAAAAAATTTTTATTGTTAGTAAATATGAATTGTATTATAGATACTTGTGTGTGAAAAAATGGTCGTTATTTAGTTGAATTAAAAAAAAAAATAAAATAAATAAATAAATAATAATAATAAAAATATTTATAAGAATAGGAATGAGTTTTTAATTAAGAGATATTTTTGTTTAAACTAAAAAGCAGTAAATTTAAGTTTGGTAGAATCAGTTTTCATTTTATTTCTCTTTATCAATCTCTATTATATCTTTTTACATTAGATCTCTGACTTAATTAATTATTTATAAATTATCGTTTCTCTCTTATTATATTTCTGGTTTGCAAACATACACTTTAAATTTATTATTAGATTCTCATCCACGCAGTCTCTTTCTCTCCTACTCATAAATATCATTCAATCCACTGCTATAATTATTGTCCATAAATCTATCTACATGTCGAGGTAAAATTTTCGTATTCCATTTGATGCTAAATACCCTGAATATATTCAGAATTTTCAGTATCTATTAAGGATGAATTCAAGATCTTATAAAAATTAAAATTCAGGGTCAATTATAATAATAATTTTTTATAGCTAAACATTCAGGATGTTCAGTATAAAATCGTTGCAGTGTTAATAATGAGAATCAGTATCAAAGTGTTGATAATTAAATATTCAGGATATCCAGTACCCAAATAAGTCTAAAAGTAATTTTTTCAAGATCTTCAATACCAAATCCAGACGAAATTCAATTATTAAGGATATTCAGTATCAAATTGAATACGAAAAGTTTACCTCGGAATATCTGTTGTATTTATTATTTACAATAAAATCTGTTGGAAATTTTTTCCAACATTATTTTTTTCTTTGTTCTCTAGATTATTTACAGTTATTTATATCTATCTGTACATAAATTGCGAGGCACCGGAATCAGAATTAAAAAATCATCCTGATTATTTCCAGCGAGTTATGAAGAAAAAAAAATTTTGAACAAAAAATAATAAATAACTTAAAATATATTTCACCTCGACGCCTGGCGTCTTGTATGAATCACTAGCCTTCCAACAGTTTATTACTCCACTTCGTTAGAGCCTTTTATTTCCTTCTATATTTTTTGAAGTTTTTCAGGCTTTCAGTAAGGTCTCCATACAGGTTTAGTTGGCGGAGGTGTTGACAATTTGGTTGGTGATGGACTTCTCTTAGAAATGTATGAAGTAGGAGCTTTCAATTCACACCTAACTCCTTCAGTAGGTTTTTTAGATGACAATTGTCGTCCCGGTGATGACGAAGAAGGTGTAATGGTCGTTGTTGGCAGTGTACTAAGCTTGATTGGAACAAAGGCACTGCGAACTTCTTCTTCGATTGCAACAGTTGTTGTTTCACTGCCGCTGTCGCTTGGACTTCTAGGTGGTGTTCTTGATGGACTATTTGGTAGGGCTGGTGTTTTTATTGTTGGCATTCCCGGATATTCCGGAGGATACTTGACGTGATCATGGAACGGATACGTGGACGGAAGGACAGTTGGAGCAAAACTTGGCGTGAACAGATCCGCTGGTGGCATTGGCATGGCTCCTAAAGCATAAGATAAAGAGAAGACGTGTGTTAGAGGGTTCATACAAAGCACTCACCGACCGGCTGTATTGTTATTCTAAGGGGAACTTGTGGGAAAAGGGAGCATGATGAACAGAGAAAGAAAGAATTCCCCCTCGGGTCCAGTATGAATCATCGTCAATCGATACTTGCCCCTTTTTAAGTTTCATTCTGCTCTTCCACTCATCATACATTTTTACTTTTGGCTAAGTTACAAATCAGAATTTGATGCATACCTTTGACGAGTGCAGGATGAGGCAGGTGCCAGGCGTGACCAAGATACGCTGCGTCCAACCAAGGGTTTAGGAGTCCTAGTCCAGGAAATCCGGGTCCATATTGATAATCTGTAAAAAGCAAATAAATTCTTCATAAGTAAATGGGATATTGTAATTAAAACAATTTTTTATTTTTAAAAAATTATCTCAGAATCTTTAATAAAACGTTTGTTAATTGAGTAATTTCTCTAAATTCGAAGACTCCTGAGAATAGAGCCAAAAAAATATTTATTTTAATGATATCATAAACTATTTCTTAACGATGTTCGCGTCTTTAGCCGGCTGCTGGTTGGGTTAGTTGCGTTTTGTGGCGCACATATGCTACCGCCATATGCCAAGTAATAAACAAATAAAACGCGGTGTCTTTGGCTTCCTCACATCGTTTTCTTATACGTATATGTCTTGATCAGTAACTGAGAAAAAACAAAATCTCCAATGGGATGCATGAATCAAACTCAAAGAGATGCCGCGCTTTGAGTTCTTGCCAAGTTTCACGAGCATTCTCGATATTATGCACGTGAACACATGTGTGAATGTCTATAAATGAGCGAGCAAGATAGAGGAGAATGTGAGAGAGATACCCGGACCGACCACCACTGGTGGTTTGAGGTCCGCCAGATATACGCCGGATTATTAAACGTTGCAAGGCCTCTGACACCCGTTTTGCGGATTCTCTCGTGGACACGCGTTTATGAACAGTTCTGACCACTTCCTTCCAACTCCTATTCCAACTACTCGCGCCAATCATTTGTCTTACTACTTGTAGCTTATTCTTTCAACTTACTCGACTTGGATCGTGGTTCTCTTGGTCCATCTACTGTTACTTTGATTGCTTTAGTATATGTTGCTACTTGTAAAGGTACACTAGAGATCTGGATCGTTAAAGAGAATGATTTACCTGTAAAGAATCATTTTCATGTTAAAAGAAACTTAATCAATTTCTGAAGAGAATAGTTATCAACATCAAATGATGCAGAAAGTGATGGATAATTTAAGTCTCAATGACAATAATTACCTCTTCCACTGCGACCAACAAATCGCAGGTCATTAAATTTAGCTACTCGGTTCTTCATTACTGCAGTACAATTTCTAAGTTCTCCACAACAATTTTCGTCGTTTCCAGCACGGATTGTGACGAGAGTTCCATCACTAATGTCATCCAATGATACGACTTTAAATGCAACTGGAAGCGATTTATTCGATCTCCAATGAGTTGGGAGAGCGCTGCAGAGAATCGCTGGACTTCCGGTCTGCACGAGATCTCCATGACAAGCTCTCAATGCGTCGTGGATTGCAGCAAAACTCTCCATACCAAGTGGTCCCTCAGGTAAATGCATTTTTGTCTTATTAAAGTTCAATATTTTTTAAAAAGTAGTCCGTTAATTGATAAAGAATGTAAACACTAAAATAAATAAAAATAAACCCAGCTTGATCACTAAACACTTTCACTTCATCCGTTGGGATTGATGATCACCACAACACTGACTGACTACTCTCGATCTTTTGAGGGATCGTAGCGGAAGAAAAATTTTTTCCGAGATTTACGATGCGCACTCGATGATAGCCGAGCGGATTCTAGTTTTTCGCAGACGTCGCCGCAGCTATTTAGGGGGGATTTTTATCCCCACCAATTTTTCCAGAGCCCCACCCAGTGGCGTTGCGTCGACCAATGAGGACCGTGGTCGTGTTTGTGGCCTCAGTGGCTCGCCGCCTTCACCCCTAACCAAGCTTAAGGGTTGCGAGGGGATCTCCAAGAGTCTCAACGGTTTCATGCTGTTTCTCTTGCTTGCTTCTCTTACCTATATATTTATATCATCCCTCTTGCTTTCTCCTGTACGCTACACATCTACATATCACCACTATCTCACTCGCGCATTTTACTATCACGTTTAACTTTGGCTTTCTGCTGCTTTACTCCCTCGATCTTTCGTGTCACGCTTTCGCTCACATCACCTTTCCTTTGACCGCTACCGTTCACCTACACGCACGTGTTCTCCGAGAACGTTTATTTTCCCTCGTGGACGATCACAATTAAACTACTACCATCAAATCATCATTTTTCTAAATATTTATTCAACTAAAGATTAAAAATGAAAATTACTTTTGAGATTTTTTTTTTGCCAATTTTTTTCTATGCATCAATCACTGTACTTTTTCGTTGATAAAATTTTTGGATTATTTCATCAATAAATATTTAAACAATTAAATACTTCGTTCAGTTGAATTGTTTATACAAAAAAAAACAAACAATGGAGAATAAATAATCAACGTAAGAATGATATATTCATTATAAAAACGAAACTGTTAACGAAATATTTACTTTGTTGGGTGAAATTTAATGCTAGATTAAAAAATTTTTTTTGTAAGATATATTTACAGTTTTGTTATGAAAAAAAAATCAACATTTAAATATATCGTCGAGTAAATTTCCAACTTTAGAATTATGATTACATTAAATTGTGTTACACTCTAATTTGTTAACTTCAAACAAAGAGAAATGTTACAAATCAATGGAAAATTAAAGCAAAGCAGGAAAATATTTTGTTAAGTAATCCAACTAAAAATGAATAAGCAAGCAATAAATATTAGCTAAAATAGAATAGAATTCATAGAAACATTTAACGGTAGTTTGCTAAGTAAATAAATAAACCAAAAGGGGTTATTAAGTTGAGACAACTCAGGTAAGTCTTGTCGTTTGATGAACAATCAACACAATATTTGGACAACCATTATCCCCAAGTTATAGGTGGTCTGAACCCCCTATTGAGATTCTCTCTACCTAGTGAACTCAATAACGATACGTACCAAATTGCAAGGTTACAGACCTTATGAAGTTTACTGCACTGATTTCCCTACCAAACAGCATAGTACCATTTGCACTTTCTAAGCTACATAAAAATGTCTCTAATTTCAAGAATACTAGGGATTATATTTTGTGGTTTGCTTAAGAAAATCAACTCGTACACTTATATAATATAAAGTGATTATGATCAACAATTCTCGTTTTCAACTTTAACACACAATAACAAATAATAGCAAAAATAATACTCTTCTATTTTTTAAATTGTTATCTAATTTGTCTTTCTACTATTGCTATTTTTATCATTGCATTAGTTAGTAATAAATACCAGAAGAAATCGACTATTCATGTTATCAGGTCAGTTGATGATAATAGTGAATGCAATGTACTATAAATTTTACCTTTGCCTATAAGGTCAGGTATATGAAACATAGCTTATGAATAATAAGTTCAATATGTCATGACAGAAGAGTTTAGGTATATTATATATATGTCTCCTGGTGAATCGTTGGTTTATTATGATTGAGCATTGAAGAATTGAGATTTTAGTTGAAATCTTGGAATATTATAAGACAAGAATTGTTGTTGACATTGAACAGAAAGGTATTTGCTTTGTCTTAATAGGTGTTGTAAATATTTGTATTAAGTTCAAAAGATCAAGAACATTCATATATTTATACAGATACATCATAAACCACTAAGCAAATTCTAGGTTTTCGACTAAGTAATGAGGCATTCAATTGAAACCAGTAATTTATTTGAATGCTTGTTTTTATGACTACAAGCTTCCTTGGAGGTATTTACTATATAAGATGATCTTGTAAGATAACTAACTAGAGTCTACTTACTTTAAAAAAAAAACAATAATTAGTATAATAGAACTTGAATTTTTAAAATTAAACAATGCATGTTCAATAATTAATGTAATTTCATATACTATTCGATTATAATTACAATAATTCAATGTTTATTAATTATTAACCTTCATTCATTACTGTTAATCATTGGATTAACTTTAATTGAAAAATATGTTAAATTATGTTGTTAGAAATGTCAAGTAACTTGTACATAAATATCCCTAATGCGTGGGAAATACATGAAACCTGTAATTTGACAGTATACAGGAAGTTAAATAAATAAATCTTTTACATAAGATCAATTCAATTCTCAAAGTATATATTGCTCCAATTCTATTCTTCTCATTCTCCACCCATTTCTGCTACATTTACGGTAGTCTTTCGTTTAAAATAGACGACTTAACTATAAAGACCGAGTTTCTAAACTTTTACTACCACCATGACCACGACCTCGAATCCGTATGTTTCAGAACAAAGAACGAAACGAGAGAACAACCGGTGAGTGAGATGAAAAACAAAGTTTTAAAATAAGTTTATTAGCATCAGTAACCTTGATCACCTTCAACAAGATGAGGTGAAGAATATTTTACCTAAAAGAAGCAAAATCCACGCGCCGTAACAAATTTTTCTGCTTTCACGTATATTTCTTCGGTCCTTGAATGACAATTCTTTTTTTCTGAGAACAATTTTACGACCTTGCAACCTGTGGACCTCGGATAATCGTCAGATTAACCCCATTTTCATCTATTTTCTACTGCCACGCGACTCTCAAGGTTTTTCTCGAGCAATCATTTCTCTGAGAAATAACAAAACAGACTTATTTTTGTGAAATAAGTGTATTGAGACTAACAAAAAATACTTCTTGTAAATATTAATTTTTTTCTCCATTTTTTTTTCTTTTAAAAATAAAAAAAAATTTCCTACATTTTATTCATAAAAAAAACTAACAATGTATCGTTTTAAACATAAATATAAAAAAAAATACTTATGTTAATCTAAGTTATTAATTTTTTGTTTTGTTTTATAAATGCATTCTTTGTTCACTACGGCTATGGATTTAATAATATATAAAAATCAAAAATTCACTATTTTAATGCATGAATATTTGTTTAAATAAATTTGTTACATCCATTAAATTGAATGTAACATTTCTAATTTATTCCAAAATTTAATTTTGAAATATTTTAACAACGAAAAATTCTTCTGGGCAAATTTTTAATTACTTATTTCCACGCAGAGACCATATGGTGTTTGCATTACGTCTATAAACACTGAATAAGATCTAAGACAATAGGCACGTGTGACAGCATACCAAAAGATCAGAGTACTAATTTTTGAAAATGCACTCTTGTCGTTATTAACGCATGAGCGATTTCCAAAGGGCCTAAAAGATAAAATGAGAAATTCTGAAGACATTTTTAATATTCTCGTAGTGCTCGAGTTCTAAAAAAAAAGAACGTCTTCGTAAAGTTTGCACTACGCTTCGGTGAGCCAATGTCGTAAGATTCAAAAGTTGAAAAAACTTATGCTCTAACAGTGATGTGTAGCGCACATGGATGATGTGACAATAGTTAAAGAAGGTATGAATTAAAAAGGAAAAAAAAACAAGACCTGGAAGACTCATCCTCGTTGGTTGAGAGGTGAGTGTTGAGTGCGGAAAACACGAAGAGAGTGCGAGATGAACCGGTATAGAAGTTAACATAGGAGGTTGGCATTGTGTGTGGTGAGTGAGCCGGAAGCGCCGCCATACTGCGTATCGTCCCACGTCTCTTTTGTTTCCGCTCTCGTTGCTCCCGATCACTTTCTCTACCTCACACCCCGTGCTTTTTTGTTTTAACGTCTCGGCATTCAACACGAGAACGCTGGTATTTGTTGTCAGATGTGTAAAAATTTGTTAAATCCTTCCTCAAAGTTTTTTTTTTCCTAAACAAAAAAGAAAAATACCGAAATTAATTTTTTAAATAATAAATCAACGTTATAACACTCAGAAAGTAAAAAAATAAATAAATAACAAACCTTAATTATTAGACACTTTACGTCTGATTTGCATTGAAATATGCTTTTATTTGAGCTAATGATTCTGGATCTTGATTAAAGCTTAACTCGATTAATTGAATTTTTTTGTAACCATTATCATGTTGAGAATGATCAATAAAGTCAACATTTGTCCATGCCAATGTCTATGGCAAGCATGATTAAAGACTAAAGCTTTTAGAGGGTGTGAAAAACTTGCTCATAGAACAGTTAAAATTGTCCAATTAAGATTTGTCACGTAGTGAAGTGTAGAATATAAGGGTTCGACGTAAAACACACGGGGGTCCAGACATGTAACATGATGATGATGGTGATGAGAAGACCGTGTTTCAAAGGGGCTACAAGTAATAATCGCCTGCGGCATCGATCATGACACCGAGTGTGCGCCTTTCGTGACTTACAAGAACATTTCATTGATCCTTATAGGATTAGATATACTGACAGTTTCCAATAAGTCTACCAACTTACTTCTGCATTAGTTTTGATAGTAAAAAAATGTAATAACTAAGAGAAAATATTTCGATTCTCAAATCTAGAGTGAAAACTCTACTAAACCTGTTGGGGTAGTTCCATAAACCCTCTCTTAACAATGTGCCATCTATATACATGTCCGAGGGGTGCGTCCTGCACACGTGACGCTCTGATTCATACACAGACTGCTACGGAATCAATTTGTAATCTTGACTCGAATTAAGGATGGGTGGAGGGTGCAAAACTTTGATAGCGAGCTTTATTGGAGCATTTGCTTACGATATATTGTTATCAACTTGTATATTTTGTTTTTTTACTCCTTTTTCTCAATATATTATTTTCACTTTAATTCTTTTGATCAATTTAAGCAAGTGTAATACTAGAGATAATATCATTTCAACGGCTC